GAGGCTGGGGGGGCCTTGGGCTGCCCTGGCCAGGTCAGAGGCTGCAGAAGGAGGGTGCCAGGAACAGGGTGCGCTGGATGGGCTGCGTTGCTGGGCTGGACTGTCATCACTTTGGCTCCTCTTCAGACTCCAGTGCTGATGCAACTTTTCTCTTATTTAGCCTGATCTTACATCAACTCCAAACTTTGTTGTGGAAGTAATAAAAGATGATACAAAACAGACCCTTGTTCTTGACTGCCATTATCCGGAAGACGAGGTGAGTATCAAGCTGGTTGTGTGTCAGCCACAGCCAGCTCTGCGCTGTGCCTCACGGTGCATTTCCCGCTTGACTGTAGTGTAACTGCGCTGCTGTTGAGTCTAACTGCTCTTTATAATCTGTTGGCTTTCTGAATCTGCAGAAAATGCAGTCTCCTCTTAACTCTCTCTTCTTGTTTTTTAACACACACAAAGAAAAAGGCTTTCCGTTTGCAAGAACACTCTTAGGGGAGATGTTCCGTTGCATTCCTCACATCCTGACCTGGCGTTTCTGATCGGCTGCTTCTTGGCCAGTTTATTGAATTACATTAGAGAAGGGAGGCCTGGCTTAACTTTAATACACGGCAACTTGAGAGGGGTAAACAAGAATGGCCAAAACGAGAGATTGTGTCAGTAACTTGCAAATCTCATTGTTGTGAGAAGTCACAAAGAGAAGTAGGGATTAAAAAGGGGCGGGGGGGTAAAATTGAGAGCTTTGGTTCAGACTGATCTTTGTGGTTTATTTTGTAAACCTTAACAGATCATTTATGCAGCCAGTCTGGGCTGAGAAAGGTTAGACGGACGTGTGAAGACAGATTTAGAACCACACAAAGGGGTTTTTACATCTTTGTAAAAATCAGGCTGCTGACTTAGATCAGGTCGCTGCTGGTTGAGTGACCCGTCGGGATTTCCTGCGTTGTCGCGCACGTCTGTGCTTCTCTTCACAGGCGCGCGTTGAGAGGGGAGAGGCACAGCTTTAGTACCGGTCTTGGGGTTTCGCCTGCAGTGTCATATCCCTAGCTTCGGGATGAGATGGCTGAAGGGGCCCTGCAGTTAGAGCTAACTGCGTGTCTTGCATCTCATCTCCTGTTTCAGGTCGGACATGAGGGAGAGGAAGAAAGTGATATTTTCACAATTCGGGAGGTCAGTTTTCAGCCCACTGGAGAATCGGATTGGAAGGACACCAACTACACCCTCAATACGGATTCCCTGGACTGGGTAAGTGGTGGTGACGCGGCCGTAGGCTGCAGAGGGCACTTGGCTTACCCCGCCTGGCTCTCCGTGTGCTCCTGGATTGTGAACAAGGTCTGTCTGGGATGGCTGAGACGGGGCTCCCCTGCTCTGCCCCAGCGTGTCAGGAGGCAGTGGTTCTGCTGCAAACCCAGGACTACGACATGGTGCCAGCAGCTGTGCGGTGCTGGCGGCGTTACTGGCGGTCAGAGACCCGACAAGCGGAAACGCGTTCTGTTCCAGGCTTTACAGGTTGATTTCCTAGCAGCTGTGTTAGACTGCAGAGACGCTTTGACACTTGCTCAAACATCTTTTGATCTGTGTGTTCAACAGTGTAGCTTTATCAGATACCATGTGTAGACGCCTTTGTTTTCTGGGTCTTCCAGGTATGCTTTTATAGTTGTGACACTAAAAACTAATACAGAATCATAGAATCGTTTAGGTTGGAAAAGACCTTTGAGATCATCAAGTCCAACCGTTAACACAGCACTGCCAAGTCCACCAAGAATACCCAAGAATCTGGCATCTGCTTGCACGTTCTCAATATCAGGCTTTCAAAAGGTTAAGTCGTAGTTGGAGGCTGTGTATCATATGGTTGAAACTTTACTCCTAGAGTGTCTGTCTCTTTGGGAAGCATTGGTGTTAAAATTGGTTAGTGCACTCTACAACATCCCACGCTGCTTTTTTTTTTTCCCCTCTCTGACTTGAGACAGAAAATTAATTAAAAAATGTATATGATTTGTGATCTACTCAGATTACAAAAGTCCAAAATTAATCATTTGCTCAGTAATATTGGTCTGTTTAAAACAAAAACAAAACCGACCAGAAAACCAAGAAACCCATGACAGGTATTAGCATTACTGCACCAAGCCCTAATAATGAATCTGTTCTCCTGAGGAGCGAGGAGGGAACCCACAAGCACTAACATGTGCTGGAGTTGCAAGAGTTAAGTAGGATTAAAAAGAAGAAGAAAGAAAAAAAAAAAAAAAAGAGTTGATGCTGGTAAAAGATGTAGTCTCTCAAACATTTGCATGAGATACCACCCTTCCCAGACCTGGTCAAAGCAATTCACCCCCAAGGCCACAGCGCTATTTCAGGGGCCGGGCAGAGCTTGGTGTGTGTACTCTTCGCCAGACTTTACCTGCCGACTCCTGCAGTCAGTTGATCATCTCCGGAGCGCGGCTCGTTTGTGGTGTTGGGTTTGGGTTTGTATTTGACCCAGTTTGGATGATCTGTTCCGTGGCCCCTTCCCTCCCAGGGCTGCACCCAAGGCCAGGCCCGCCCAGCAGGGGCCGGGAGCTGCCTGGTCTCCTGCGGGAGGCAGGCCAGGTCTTCCTGGGAGAAAGAAGTGCCAGCTGCCGTGGGACATCTTAAAAGCAACCCCTACCCCGGTGTCCTCGGCTAAGGAAGTTTCTGTTCATTGCTTCCAGGCTCTGTACGATCATTTGATGGATTTCCTGGCTGATCGAGGAGTGGACAACACGTTCGCTGATGAGTTAATAGAGCTCAGCACCGCACTGGAGCACCAGGAGTACATTAAATTCCTTGAAGACCTTAAAAGCTTTGTCAAATGTCAGTAGGTAGGCTAGGAAACTTATCTTCAAGTGTGGGTATTCCACAGCACTGCTCAGCCAGCAATACCCAAATAGATCTTCACAGCAGATACGGAGAGTAAGTAACTTTGAATTTGGCAGTGAACATCACGGGAGAATGAGGATTCTCGCTTGTATTTGGGGATTGGTATTTATGTTGCAGCCCAGATCAAGGTCTCTAACGTTATGGTCCTGAATTGCCTCGCCCTGCTTGGGGGGTTTTGTACAATTAAGAATGAATGTGAAGAATAAAATCTGTTCAACATATCACTGAAAACTGGTGGTTTCTCTTCCTGCTGTACCATTGCTGACCAGAGAGCTGCCGCAAAAACGCTGCTAGTGCGTGTCTGTGCCTGAGCCAGCGTTACTACAGCTGCCCGCAGGGCGATGGCGTGTGCCGGCCCCGAGGCTCCTCCAGGGAGAGCTGTTCCCGCACCTCCAAACAGGCGGTGTGCCCTTCTGGCAGCACAGCCGTGCCTGTCGGAGGAAGGCTGCTGGCCAGGCGGTGCTAATTACGAATGTGTATCTCGTTCTAGAAGCCCTGGCTGGCTGTGTGTTAGGGAAGAGAATTCAGGGTCCTAAATACTGTGTTAGAGGAGCTGTTTTAAAAACAAAAAGGATGTGCCGTCATAACCTATTATATCAATGTTAACGTAGCTGCTTTAGGAAAATACCGCAGGGAGGCTGTAGGGCTTCGGTTCCCACAGAGCGGCTGGGGATGCTGCTGCAGGGCGGCCGCCGCCTGCTCACACCCGTGTCTCCAGTTGTGACCTGAAGCTCACACTGAGTTTAAACAGAAACCAAAGCTGAAGGCCAGTGTGAGCCGAGATCACCGACGCGTTGCGAAGGACCACACAAAGGCTGACATAAACTAAGTGTATTTATTTCGAAACGTGTACTGTGCCATCAAAAGTGCAGGTCAAGGCCGTACTACTGCCTTTTCAAGTAGCCTTTTGGCACAGCAGTTACAAGTATATACATAAAAACACTAGCAGCTCTGGGGGGTTTTCAGTCTTGAAGCCCTTCCAGTCAAAAAGCAGCAGCCGAATCAACTTACTTACAGGAGAATCGCCCAGGAGTCACAGACCTTGACAAAAGGCAAGTGGAACAGAGAAGCTATAGCAACGTATAAAATCAACGTTCAAAACTATTTGAAATGCTCTGCTCCTAACACTGTCCTCAGCGCGTAGGTGCACACGGTGATTCTACGTAAGCAGCAAAGCTAAGAACTTGCTAGCTCTGGCTTGAGCCAAAGGGACGGTGCGCGTTTTCGAAGAGGTATGGGCGAGCCTTCCGAGGAGGCTTAAACTGAAGTAATTTTTAAAACTTTTCTTCATGAACCACTTCCCAGAACAGACGCGCCACACAAGACTTGGAAGTCGGCGGCTAAGGTGTGAGAAAGGTACGGCCCTGAGCTTGCCAGGGCAAAGACTCCCTAATCCAGCAGTTAGGGTGAGTTGTGTAATTTGGCTCCTCCTTCTACAGTTACTGGTGGTCAAAAGTAAAACCATTTCCAAGGAAGTTTGTGGAAAAACAGCAACAGAAACCCCTGGCATCCACGGACTTGTGGTTTCTGCCCGTGTAATTGAGAAGCAGATGCCAGCAGGAGCTCAACACGCAGACTCACCGGGCAGCTCATGAGAAGGCTGGCCTCCTCCTCCATTCCGCTGGTCACTGTGAACTCTGGGTTGTGAAAGCACCTGTGACTGTGCTCTGTGACAGTGTTTTCTAGAAGCGACCGTAGCTTCTCTTCTGTCATACCCTGAGAAAAACGGGGTTAAAAGAAATCTTAGGCTTAGGTTGCTGTCTGTAGCTTGAAAATGCCTTGTTGCAGTAGGCCTGGGCAGCGACAGCTAACACACCGCTCAGCGCAGCTCACCTGCGTGCTGATGTATAATCCACACTGGCAGAAAACAAAGTGACTCCTGACGGTCAGGTTATTCCTAGGAAGAGTACAATGAGC